CGGCCTTCAACCGCTTCAATAATGCACAGTATGGTTTTTCCTTTTTCGAAGTAGTCCACGAAGAGTATGCCATGACAATCTCAGAAAACCGACGCCATAACCTTTCCGACCCATCGAGCCTCCATCGGCCACTTCGGAGCACTCGTGCCGGCTTCAGTCCACTGCCGTGCAGTCATTCTGTTCTCTGGGGTGTAATAGTGGATCCAGGTTTCATCATCAGTTATCAATCGACGCCAGAAGTCCGCCCGATTCCACATAGACAAGTCCAAACACTCTTTGGAAGTGCTCTCGCGTTCATGTTTTTGGTCAGGAGTGAGCTTGCGCGGTACTCAATGGCACGATAACTTTTTCATATGCAGAATCTCGCCCAAAATATGGCGTGTGCACTCAGTACTAATCTTTGTGGTATCTGCTAGCTCACGCACCTTCACTTTCCGATCAGCCAACACCATTTCATGTATTTTTTTGACATTGTCATTGTCGGACATTGTCGGAGGGCCTCCCGCTGCAGACTTGATCGGTAGTGGAGTTGCGGCCATCACAAAACTCTCGAAACCAATATTTGACGGTGTAAGCTGACGGAGCATTAGCCCCATAATATTTATCCAATTTTTCTTTTGTTTCCTTTGTCGTTTTGCCTCTCAAAAAATAATGTTTTATGAGAGAACGAACATCGGATTTATCCATACTCAACATGATGCCAAACACGTCAATAACAATCAGCTGTCAAAACAAAACTAAAGACACTGTATCGCATTGAAATTTGATATGTCTGCCTAAATATGAACGGACTACAAGGCACCATAATCTTTTTTGCAGTAGCAGCGCATTCTGGCGGTCAAGGAGGTTACTTTTCCTAGTATACAAAACAATGCTAGAATTGGGAGGGACCCTCAGGGCACCTGATTGAAGCGATTTGGATGGGGAGAGTGAAATGGTCAACTCCCTGTTGTTAACATCTCGTGAAAAAAGGGCGGGCTCATCTCAACACTCATTGGGGTATCCTTCTGTCGGACGGCTCGTTTTTTGACCAATTGTATGATCATGTGGCTGGAAGGAGATTCTCTACCATCCCGTGGAGGCGTATAGGTGAATTTATTTACCTATCGATCCACCAAACCCGTTTCTGGCCCTTCATACAGTGACATGTTGAGGACAATCAGAGGTTATTAAGCTTGATCAAATGAAACAGTGAGGAGCGCCCACTGCTATTGGACTTAGTTTCGGCAAAACAATGAGTGGTAGACAATTATCATACATCATACACATCAAGATCGCCTCACTGTGCGCCGTGGTAAGAATATACCACAGACAAAGAGACATTTCTATATATTCTGTTTACCTTGCATGTAACATTGTTTGTGACTTAGCGAGCTAGCTTGTTTTCCACGAGAAGCTGGAGAAATGTCGTTACTGAGGTCCTATTTTTTTGAGGTACAATGTTCTCAAGAAAATCTTTTGAAAAACAGAGTAACGTCTGTTTGTCGGTGGATAGACGTCAAAAATGCGTTCAATTGGTCAATAGTGCTAGCTGGGAAGCCATCGTCGAAGCTTTGCACCAGGGTGAAGGATTGTGAGAAGTTATTTCCAGAACCGGGTTCTGGTTTCCGAGACAGAGCCCCTCCAAAAACTACACACACCCAAGGGATTACTGAAGTCAGTAAACTGGGTTTTTGAATTGCGGATCACCCAGCTACTTTCAGAGCTATAATTATGATTACCGGATTAATCATTTTGTCAAGCTTCTGCATTCATGTTCCATCAGATGTCACTGCTGTTGTTTGCGGTGACATCTATCGAAAACTACTCATAATCTGTTTTACGTTAATTGTTCACAGAGGACAGTGCAGTGCAAAACATGTCTGGTACCTCTATATATGCATTTAGTCTCTCCTTTTTTACACATTCTGCACACAAAATAGCTCACCCCTCACAGAATTTCCCGTCGATTTTTATGTATGGGGCGGGGCAGAAAGTATCTTTTGTGCAGAATATGTATAAAAGGAGGGACTTCACATGTTAAACTAAATGCATATATAGGAGTACCAGACATGTTTTGTAAAACAGGTAGTCTATTTTGTAATCTGTGAAAGGGAAATCACAAATCGCGTGTCATCAAAATACATGGCATGTTTGAGCTCGTGAGAGAGAATTTTCTCTCTCAAATTTGAATTTTTTGACTCTCTGGAGACTGGTAGTAAAGCAGGTAATACTGTATGGGGAAAAATAATGTATATTTAATTATAGCTTGTTTAACAATAATTTCTAAAAAAAAACTAAACGACAAAGTCCCGGACTATTTTATTTAGGTTGTCGTTCACTTTTTTTGACCTGAATATGCACCGAAAGCGAATTATTCTCACTTCTCTCATTTTCTATATGGGGATTTTTATCACTTCCTACCAGCGGAACAGCGTCATCTCTGTGCAAAATAGCCGGACGATATGATTAATTGCCTGTAAAAAAAGTAAACACGAATTGTAAAAAACAACGGTTCGTTCAGTAATTCACTCCAACTATGTTCGGTAATATTAACTGGAAACACCAGTAAATGCGATCATTATTTTACCAGTATTTAACTGACAAGACAGTTAAAATGTTATTGCCAGTACCCTACAAGTCAGTTATATTTTCTGTGTTTTTTCGAAGGAAAAATGATCTAAATTCAATAAATATTGATTTAAGATAGAAGAAATGCATTTATTTTCCTGTGAATTTCACATATTTCATTCTTAATTTATAATCTTTTATTTTTAGGTTTCAATAACCTAAATATGCTGTTTCGTGGAATTTCCCCAAAGTATTGGACTTTTATGGTTAGGTGTTGGGAATGGGTCATCCATCTTATAAAGAAAAAGATAATTTGACTCGAACACATTCTATGATTCCGTCAATGAATTATCTTCGGTAGATGAAAAAAGACCCTCCAATAATGTTGTACCTAAGCATGAACTAATTTAATAGTATTTTATAATTTTTCGCCGTTCCACGATCATAAAATCCATTATTTCTAATTATAATTATCACTATTCAACAGTTCAACACAGAATTGACAGCTTAAAATTTTACAATTCAAGATCAGTAGAATTAGTGGCCGTTTTGATGAATCTTCAGTATAAAACCAATTACTACTGTTCGTACAGTAATTATTTTTGCTGATTTTTCTAGCAATACCGAAAATTTAGTAATAAGCGACTTTCTCAGTAAATATTTATTCTGTTTACAGTATTTTGCATTGAACGTTACCGAAACTCAGTTTGTTCTTACTGAATGTCGGTTATTCGTCTGATTTTAACTGGAATTTCAGTAAAAGTTTTGTTTTACGGTTCCAGTTAAACAAAAATACCGAACAACTTACTGCTGGATTAGTGTGAGAGTCGTGGCCAGGGGTTGCAACGGTTGACGTTTTTGACTACACTCGCTTCATTGTCGTGCGCGACAGTCTGTTTGTATTCGTACTCTCATGCTCTACCGTCGTCTTTCTTACAAAACACAAACGGTAGAACAACATTCGAGCAAAAAGAAAATTATCAAATAACTATCATATTTTTTTTTTCCTTTGGTTTGTTTTTTCCGTCGATCTTGTTTTCCGTGCTGAGCACCAATGCTACCGACGTGCCAGGAAGGCAGCTCCCACACCTGGACCCTACCTATCGACCCATCAACTCATGAACCGGGGACCAACGGCTTTACTTCCCATCCCAAGGAAGGCGTGATCAGAGATGTCATGCCTCAGAACATCCCGGCGGCGCCGACTGGGATTGTACCCAGGCCTGCTGGGGTGAGAGGTAATCACGCTTACCACTACACCACCGGCGCCGTTGAAATAACTATCATATGACATGTATGATTTCATTATAATTGCTCAATTTGGTGTAAATTAAACCATTTCTGATCAGAAATGTTATTACTAGGATATCATTGCTTGTTATTTTCAGAATTCACACAAGCACAACATCAGCAGCTCTAATTATGAGAGAAACTAAAATACATACATTCGTAAAGGTCTTCGGCGAAAGTGTCCTATGACAGATCCTGTCATATGACATTTTAGTTTGGTACTGTAATTTTAAAGCTTGTTTTGCAAGTGTCGGAAGCAAAGGCAGTCGATTATCACAGAAAATGTGTCGACTACGGTGACCGCTTACAAGACTGGTCGTGGCATACAGTGCTAGTGACGTCAACCCCGGACTTTTTTGGCTGAAACATGTGGGAACCTCCCTGACATAAAGTATCAATGAGCTTACCGCACAATAAATTATATGATGCAAAAATGATGCACGGTTGGAAAGCCATCAATTAACAACTGCGGAACTCAATAAGAAAAAGAAGAATCATAACAAAAAAACAAATTTCAACGTTTTGGTTTACTTGAAATTTCGCATTCAATTTGTGAATCGTCTAGAATCGTCCTTAGACTACATTCTCCGCTTTGTGCCACTTTCCCACAGCTTTCTACTTTATTCCTTTTCAACTCTAAACACGCTACTGGCCGGTTGGCTTATCCTTACCGACGGGTATCATCCAAGTTGTGTACGCGCAAACCCTCCATATGGGTCCCGATCTTGCCATCATCATCATCAGCAGCAGCAGGCAAGCGATCGGATGCAACCACCACCGCCACCAGCAGCAGCACACCACCTATCCAAGAAACCCGACTCACGTTCGGCTGTGGCGCTCGCTCGCTTATTGCTGTATAAAACTGGATGTTTGTAAGAAATCGCGCTTAATATCACCTTGATCTTGAATCGGTTAGGTTGTGTCCGGCGGAACAAGCGGATCCGAATAAGTTTTTTTTACGACCGCGGTGAAATTGGCCGCGCTGATGCGTGATTAGGGCTGCCCAAAACGTGCTCGGAAAGCTTGAAGCTCGACTGATATCAGCTGGGTGTGATCCCAAAAAAAAAAACCGGTGGTTAACAGTGCTAATTATTCGACGGGAAAAAACGAAACAACACAGACAGCAGGTGAGAGCGGGGGTGTTAAAATTGAGTGACCTTGTTTTAAGCTAAAATATTGTTGTGAAAATTTCGTCTCCGAGTGGAAAGTGAAGACAGTGTGAAAATATGATAAGAAAACGACCGTCTGCAGTGCTGCAGTTACTGCTGCCGCTGATGGCGTTGACCATCGGTTCGACTCTGGCACAAGCCGTGAAAGCGGAAAATAAAGGTAAGTGTTTAATGGATCTCCGAACAGCAGACAACGGTCGTGTATAAATAGCAATAATAATAATAATAATATACCGCGCCACGACGCTAAGGCCTTGCCATAGGGATGGAATAGATGATCATCAAAGTGTGAGATTTACAGCATAAGTGCCAACAACAAAGTTATGGGATGAGGATGGGAAAGCTGTGCCCAGTACAAAAAAAAATCTAAACTATTATGAGAGAGTGACGTCCGGCTGTGAGATCAAAATGCTTCGACTAGTAAGCCGCAGATGAGCTATGTTGCACAATTTACCGAGAGTATGTAAACAAGCCAAGTGCTGTGGGATGCTTCAGTGGTTTGTGAGGGGAGCAGAAAAATATGATTGGCGATTGAAGTGGAAAAATACTGACTGTTTACTTACCTGGTTGAGCTGGACCCAAACGTGCTGGACCCTGAAATTATGTAAGAAGGTGTTAAGAGAGTAATTTTAGCACGCAAATTTTCACAGTATTTAGGAAAATTTAAGTAGAAAGCATTATGGAAAATTTCGATCCGATTTTACTTTTTTAAACATTCGAAATGGCCACCCACTAAGATATACTAATAAAAATCAGTGTGGCGATAAGAATGATACCTGTGTACCGTAAAACGGGGTGAAGTTGATCATTGAGATGAAGTTGATCATTGAGATGAAGTTGATCACTACACCGTTCAATTTTCGTTTCTCAACAATCCTTTTTCATGATATTGTTTTAAGGTTCAATTTACTTTGATGCTTTCTGGAAAATTTCAAAAGCAGTTTTTTTCCGACGCATTATTTCAGATTGCAAAAAGCTCGTACTATTCGATTCCTTTTGATATTTTACAAAAATGACGCGAGCTTTTTGCAATCTGAAACAATGCGTCGGAAAAAACTGCTTTTGAAAGTTTCCAAAAAGCATCAAAGTAAATTGAACTTTAAGATATATTTTTTAGTATTTCATTGAGTAGTTTTAAATAGTACTTTTGAAACATTTTCCCTAACAAACAAACTCTAAATGTACAATTTTGTGGATGTTATAAAATTTTTTTTTCTAGTGCTGTGTTCGAGGGCGAGGGCGATTGACTTAAAATTAAAATGAATTAATATCACACATGATTTTTTTTATTCGTATCAATGTTTAATGAAACAAAAACTTGCATTTCTAATACCATACCTAACATGTTTAAAATACCATCGATTACGTGACAAAAGGAGAGAGAGAGAAAAAAACAAAACCGGTGCGATTATCCGTCACGTTGATCTTTGCCATTTTCCCTTGTTTTTTTAGCAGCTCACGCATAACATTTGTGTATACACTGTTGATCTGATCATCATCTACATGGTTTTATTTTTCACCGCCATCACGCCCATCCGAATTCGCAGCCGGAAACAAATGCCAGTTTCCTAGACATCGTATATAAAATTCACTTTCAACCGATGCGAAACTCACCTGAGGCTCCAGGCGATTAGTTGTCTGATGTCATCAATTAGCTGCGACTCGAAATTTCATCACCCACCAGTGACGTAACTAGCCTCTGAATTTGGGGGGGACTTAGGTGAAAGTGGCCTTGTTAGGAAATCAAAATTTCAAAAATGGTAACCTCTGAGATATCACTACAGATTGGAAGAAGCTCTCGTCGGTTTGTGCGAAAGCAGTATTTTGAAATCAGAAATGATGTTTCAGAGATTACCATTTTTGATATTTTGATTACTCTCTAGGTCACTTTCACCGTAACCCGAGCAGGAGAACATAACTTATGAATACCAAATCCAGGTATTATAAAAGAATACCTGGCAAACTGAATATGGTATTGGCCTGACATAAGAGGTAAAATACCAAAAATAATACCTCCAAAAAGTTCTACGAATAACGAACTAATAAATAATTTAGTTATTATAATAACTGACTGATAACAGACCCTTTTTTTGATCCCAGAATACCTTAATTTGTTATTTATAAGGTATTCTAATACCAATTCAATAACTGAAAGATGACGTTGTGTTCTTTTGGTATTTATTTAATATTTTATAAAATATTTCGATAACTAAATAATATCAAAGCAAGGCTTTATACCACAAGCATACCAGCATACCAGTATCATACCACATTAAGATGTTCATATGTTATCGGTTAGTTATCGATTCCTGCTCGGGAAGCCCTTGTGTTTGGCAAGATTTTATCTAAAGAAAAACTGAGCGTGGTAAGATACTAAAGAAATAAGAAAGTTGTTTGGATTTGAATTTTCATTATTTTCTCTAAATAAAATTGATTGCTTCAAGAACACGCCGTTTTTTAATTAAAGCTCCAAGAATTTCAGTTCTTTTATTTCGAAAAAAAATGCATCTGAAAGAGATCATTTGTCTGAGCACATGATATTTTTTTCGTTGCCATACACAGAAAAAAAAATAATTTTAATATCACATCACAGTGGATGCACTTCAATCGTGTCGAAAATATGGTGTAATATTACTTGCCAAAAAGGACAAAATTATCATTAATACCATGCATGAACTGACATTACGCTGCTTTTACTGCATTTGTTTATTTCTGTGGCCATAAACATTACATGAGATTTTCGACATGATTGAAGTGCATCCTCTTGGATGTAATATCCAAATTAATTTTTTGCTGTGTAGACATTTATCTCAATTCAAAATCAAGAAATGAAATGCTTAAATTATTTTACTCTTTGACACATATCAATTAGACAGTTCAAGCGCAACTATTCAAATCGACGAATCTGATTTTGTAAACAATCACTTCAATCGACGATTTGTGGCAACTGCTAGCTCACTCACAGAAACTAACGACACCAGCTAGCAGGGAAAAGATTACCCTACCTGATGATGGTATTTGTTTGCGTTGGTGAGTTAGCAGTTACGACAAATCGTCAATTGAAGTGATCGTTTACAAAAGCAGATACGTCGATTTGAATAGTTACACTTGAGTTCGTCCCATACTAAAGCACCATCGAAGAACGCTCAGATGGTGATTTTTGCCACTGTAATCGCAGAAACATTCCTGCACACTAAAATTAATGACAATTATGATTTTGAAGCCCTTTCTAAAGCAGTTTTTGAGTTTGCGAAAGCTATGAAATATTTTCAAATTTGCTCTAACAGAACTAGGGTTTTTGATCTAATTTCCGTCCTACTAAGCACAACGCGCACTTTACCTCTCTTTTCTGAATGAGTTTTAATTAAAAATGGAATATTTCTGTCAAAGATGACTTCTAAATTTATTCACCATTCTATACGAACCGTTAGATTTGATAAAGAGTCACAAATTGTTGAGATATTGTTTAAAATCTAATACTGCTTCTTGATTCTAAAGGGTGATACGGTCAAAATTTGGTCAAGGGAAAACGCGTGTAAATCGGTGAAATCGTTTATTTAAAAAATCAAATTAAATTTCTTTTTCAAGTTCAATTAGTATAAAATTCAGGAAAAATATTCAGTTAGGCTTCCGCTTTTCCAAATCCGAATTGCCGGGCCTTACGCTTGACCCCTGCCATCAGATTTTGTACAGCCACCTTGTCCACCTTCTTCGCCGCAGAAAGCCAGTTTGCCTTGAACTGCTGCTCGCCCTTAGCAGTTTTTTTGGTCTTCTTTAGGTTCCGCTTGACAATAGCCCAGTATTTCTCAATTGGGCGGAGCTCTGGCGTGTTGGGAGGGTTCTTGTCCTTGGGAACCACCTGCACGTTGTTGGCGGCGTACCACTCCATGGCCTTTTTACCGTAATGGCAAGATGCCAAATCCGGCCAAAACAGTACGGAACAACCGTGTTTCTTCAGGAAAGGCAGCAGACGTTTATTCAAACACTCTTTCACGTAAATTTCTTGGTTGACAGTCCCGGAAGCTATGAAAATGCTGCTTTTCAAGCCACAGGTACAGATGGCTTGCCAAACCAGATATTTCTTTGCGAACTTTGACAGTTTCATGTGCTTGAAAACATCTGCTACCTTTCCCCTTCCTTTTGCCGTATAAAACTCCTGTCCCGGAAGCTGCTTGTAGTCGGCTTTGACGTAGGTTTCGTCGTCCATTACCACGCAGTCAAACTTCGTCAGCATCGTCGTGTACAGCCTCCGGGATCGCGCTTTGGCCGTCGTATTTTGTTTATCATCGCGATTTGGAGTCACTACCTTCTTGTAAGTCGATAGTCCGGCTCGTTTTTTGGCTCGATGCACGGTTGTAGACGATACACCCAGCTTATTTGCGGCATCTCGGAGAGAGAGGTTAGGGTTTCGCTTGAAACTACCGGCAACTCTCTTTGTCGTCTCAGCGGCTTCCGGTTTTCGATTTCCCCCCGATCCAGACTTCCTGAGAACGTTCCCAAACACTTTAATTACATTTGTAACGGTTGATTTGGCAACTTTTAGCGATTTTGCCAACTTTGCGTGCGAGTAGCTCGGATTTTCGCGATGCGCGAGCAAAATTTTGATACGCTGCTCTTCTTGCTTGGACGGCATTTTGACAACTGAAGAGTGAATTCCAAAATCAAAATAGGAGCAACATTCTACACACACACACCTTCAAAATGAGGGGTGTTCAGGTTTTTTAAATGCAAAATTGAAAGAAATACGTCAAGTTGATATTGACCAAATTTTGACCGTATCACCCTTTAAATTCGTTCTACGAGTTTCAATTCCGTCCTAACGCATTGAAACGCCATTAGATTTTCTTTGTCCTACAGATAAACGTAGAAAAAGGGGATTCGCTAGGAGCGCTTCTTTTGTTTTGAGAACAATGCGCTCTAACAGGATTTATGTTGTAGCTAATGAACTAACGCATCGGAACAAACCTATTTTTGATTTGTGCACGGTGAAATCATTGATATTATTGATCTTTTCTGATCGATAGAACGGAAATGGGCGATTACGACGAAGTAGCGCTCTACCCTATTGAATATTTAAAAGAGTAAGTGAACAAAACTTATTATTATAATTCGTAGGAGAAGACAGCGCACAGTGAGCTTCCTGTGCTTTAGCCTTGGATT